CGGCAAAGACCCTTTGTTCAAATAAGGCCGCACTCACAGGTTCCAGGGCTTGAGGCCACCCAGCGTTGGGGGCCTCCATGCAATCCGTATAGGTAGTAACCTCTCCCTTTTGGGGTTAGCCCACATCCTGAGCTTGTCTTCCTAGCTTCCATTCCTGTGTTTTAGACTCTGTCCCTCCCTGACCTGGAGCCCTGGGTGCCCTTGGGTCCCCAGACAGGAGCCTAAGGTATTAGTACCTTGAGAAAGCTTTTACTGGTACAGGGGGGAAAAATAGAGTGATGGTCTTTTCCTCTTTTCCAGATTATGGCCAAATTCTCATTCCTGCTGGCCCATTGCTTCCTTTATCCTCTCTAGGTCCTGCAGCCCTCCTTGCCTCTCAGCTAAGGATCAGACAGCAAATAGGAAGGGCAAAACAATGTATCTTTCAGGAAGACAGTGTTGAGCCACACCTGTATACTGTTCTGTATACCAAAGGGTTGGGGGTTCAATTCCTGATCAGGACACATGCCTATGTTGTGGATTCAATCCCCGGTTGGGGCACATATGGAAGGCAACCAACTGTTTCTCTCTCCCCCTAAAGTCAGTAAACATATTTTTAAAAATTAAAAAAGATCAACATCGAGAGAACAACCCCACCCTCAAAACTACCTGGATAACTACTGCTGGTTGAAAGCTGACAATTTCGACTGTTAAGTTAATTGCTACCAATCAACGGAGTCTGCCCACATTTACAAGTGAAATTGCCATTATACTTGACAAAATAGCTTGTCAATACCTATAGTGATCCTAAAGGTGTATGAGGGATTGGCAGCCTGGGCCAAAGCCTTTGGTGACTGGAGATAAGCAGGGCAGACATCTCCCTTATTTTACAGCCAGAAGGCACCTGAGATTAGGGCAGCTGTGACTTGCTCAGTGAGGCCCTGGGGTGGGGCTGGCACCAGGTCTGACCCAGAGCCCAGTAAGCTGCCTGCTGCAGGTGATGAGCAAACACCAGTACTCTCTGCATCAGGGACACAGACATGGTGAACGTGAACCAGGGTGGAGTGTGGTTGCTTGTGGAATTGGATCCAGATGCGGCTCTCTGCAGAGACTTCCCAGCACAGGAAGCTTCTAGAAGTTGGGGGGAAGAAAGGTGTGGCCGGCACTGGGGTGGGATGCAGGTGGGGTGGCATGTGTGAGGCTTAGCCATTGGGCTGCACTGCTGTGCTGCCTTCAGAAAAAGGCACTGGAAGGCCCAACTTACCCAGCACCCTCATAGTCTGGGCAAAGAGCCGGCTTTGAAGTCAAGGTCTGGAGTGGCATCAGGTTTGTCCTGTTTCATGCATGTACACTTAGACCACATTTCCTTAGCGTGTTTCCATGTCTGTAAAATGGGGGTTGTAAAACCGGTGAGAATTCTTATGGGACCTCAAGGTTTGATCTGCACCTTTGGGTTCAGGAACCTGGACCGGCTCTTCTACCTGTAACACCGGGTCCTCAGGTACCTCCCCACTAGGTGATGCCCATGGGGTTGTGTAGCCTCCAAACCTACTTCCAGATCCACTCCCAGAAGGGGCTGGTGGAGGGCAAGGCTGACCCCTGCCTGGCATTCCTCCCTAGGTAGCTTGGTGGGGAATGCTCTCCTATCCCACCTCTTTCCAGGGCAGAGGCAGAAGGGGGTAGGGATTCGAAAGGATAAAGTGCCCTTGAGTTGCTAACCTCAGTGCGGGGTCTGGACCCTCCATATTAATGGCATTCTAGCCCCATCACAGTCTCAGCTTCAGGCTCCAAATGTAACTCTTCAGTTTCGAGATCCAACTGAATCCAGGCGTATCAGGGGAACTCAAAGAGGGCTTGAGGCCTCCTGGCCTCTTTCCAAGAAGGGCTGAGGGCAGGAAGTGCATCCTTGCCTAGGTGCCCTGGGACACTATCCTCTGCCAACGAATCCCCCTATCCCCCCCCCCCCCCGCCCCGTCCCCGTCCCCTCCCCCACCCCCACCCCGGCAACTCCTCCAACCAACCCCTTCTGGCTTCTCTTAGTTTTCCAACAAATTTCTTCACTTTTATTCTCTCTCTAGGCAGCACCTTATCCAAGTGGGGAAAGAATGGGTGACAGGTAGGAGGAAGCTGAAGCCACCAGGCCACCCTGGAGGCACCTCAGGCAGGGATTGGTCTCTGGAGGTAGAGGGTAAAAGGGAGAGTGTCCAGCCTTTGGGCACCCACCTCCCATGTGGCTTGCCAGCCCATAACAGTGTAGGGTATTCCCCTTCTTGAGTGTAGATATTTTGGGCCAAATAACTGAGATCTAAAAAAAAAATTAAGGTCCTCTTAGTGCCTTCTTGGACACTAGGATGACTTGGTGTGTGCAGCACCAGACAAGGCCCCATGACAATGTTGGGGGTTTAGAGCTGCAGGGCTGCCTGTGGAACTGGCGGGCCCTGAAAGTAAGGCCTGGCTGCAGGCTGACCAACTATCCTAGTTTCCCTAGGCCGCAGGACCCAGTTCTCAAACCACAATGTCCCAGGCAGATCAGGACAAGTTGGTCACCTTATGGCCAAGGTAGGAGGCAGACTGCTCTGGGCCTGGGGACCACAAAAGGCCCTGTGCTGGGGCTGCCTAGGATGGGAGGCCTCGTGGCAGGTCAGTGGGTCCTTCCAGAGACCTGGGCTGGCTGAATATGCCTGGCACCTGCCCAAACCTGTGGAGCTGGATTCCTGGCAGCTCTGCAGACCATAGAGAGAACACACTGATGGCTTGATTCTATTTGCCCTTCTTCTCAGCCATTGTTTCCCCATGCAATGTGAGGCCTTGGGGGCTGGAGGAACTGGACAAACCCACTCCAAGATATTCCATGCCCATCACAGCGTGCTGTCATCAGCATTCCCCTCAACAGTCCTCAGTTGTCCAGAGGCCACCAGGTCACCCCCTCATACTGGACAGCACTGCCCCATGGCCCTGTGGGGAGGCACCAGGTATAGAGGAAGTCCCAATCATAGGACCCCCACTGATTAGCTCTGGTCTCAGTCTCCCAATTTTATGGGGATGGGTTCTCAAGCTTTTTTGGGTCAACCACCCCTCTGCAAATTTGCTGAAAATATAAACCCATCTTACAAAAGTATCCTAAAACCCATTTCCAGAGCAATGCACCAATCTGAAGTTAGAATCATTTCTAAATAGAGCCCCACTGTGGTAGGTGAGGAAGCACAAAGCACCCTCCCCTCCCCCAGGGTTGTAGGGGTGGTGCTGTGACCAGATGTGTGTATGGGGTCTCCCCAGCCCTCCTGGACACATGTTGAGGGACACTTCCTCCCAGGGCAGTCAGGCCTCTGGTCTTTCTCAGGAGGGATGGAGGTGAGAGGATCTCTCAAGTGAGAGCTGCCTTTGAGAGTCCTCGCAACCACCCTAGAAAGTGGAATTTTCATCAGCCCTCTCCCTTTTCATACAATGGTTCTCAGTTCTTAGCACCCAGGGAGAGGCTTGAGGGAGTTCATTACCCATCCCCTAAAATGAAGGACTCATGTTTTTGGGTCTCAGGTTTCTCAAAGAGGCCTTTGACCAAGGAGGTTAAGGAACTTGACCTTTTATTATCTGTCCCAGGTGAGAGGGAGCAGGATGTCAGTTATGGTCTGTGTAACTCCCAGGCTGCCTCCCACAGTTGGGAGTCATGGGGCTCGGAGGGGTCTTGAGGAGAGGGTCTTTCCTGGGGACTGTGAGGCAGGGCTCAGGGTAACCTGAGTCACCTGGGCCTAACTCCTGTTGCCTTCCTCTGTGGTGCCGCACCTAGAGTGGCCACTCACTCCCCATGAGCAAGAGTAGCTCCTGGCCCCTGCTACTCTTCCCCTTCCACTCACTGCCCCTAGTGCTCCTCCCCCACTTCCACAACAGGCTCTTTATCCCCTGGCCTCTAGAGACTTACAGCAACTCAGCTTGGCCCCCAGTTTCAGTGGAGGGGGTGGAGAGGACATACCTGAGCTGAGGTATAACTGAGGGGGTGGTTTTCTAGGCCGTTGCCTGGACGATGCCACCTGAGCTAGGCGCCAGGCACCTGTCGCCTAGGAAACAATGCGGGCGGGGCCCCTCCCTAGGGAGCCGCTAGGGCTGCTGGGCTGAGACAGGAGACGGATCGAATTCCGGAGAGTCCTGGCGGGCAGGGTATCGGTGGGTGGGGGTGCACGATACTGGGAAAGCTGGGGTACGTTTGCATCATCAAGAAATGAACCAGGCCCAGGACAGCAAGGACTGCGGGGCGGGAGGTTGGGTGGAGTCTCAGGAAGGGGGGCTGAGCTCCCCAACTCCCCCACTTCTTTGTCCTGAACCAGTTACATTTCTTCTCCCAAGCTGATCCTCAGTCTCACCGTTCCTTTGTCCCTGGGTTCCCACAGGCATAGATGTTCTTCTTTCCTCCCCTGTACCTTCCTGGTTACGGTATGCCCTGCCCGCCAACCTTGAGTTCCCCCCTCCCCTCCCAGCCCCGCCTCCTCCGCACAATGCTGGCCTCCCCAGTCTTGGCCTGGCTGCTCCTCCCCTGCCTCAGCCTTAAAACCCCCATGCCTGCTGCCAAGAGCTGGCAGTCCCCAGGTGGCATCCGGCAAGGGTATACTGCTCAGCGTGAACCTGCGGCAGCCAGAGGAGAGGAGGCTCCCCCCAACCTGAAGGTGGGTTGGAGGATAGGTTCTGTATAGCTGGTCAGACAGGCAGTGCTTGGGACGTGACTGCAGGGTGGCAGGAGAAGCAGCCCCTGGGCAACTGATGGGAGACAGGCATCTTGAGGGGATACCAGTCACTCAGCTGATCAGGACTGTGAGACTTTGTGTTTGCTGGGGGCCAGAGGCACACTTGTGAGGCGCGCGGAGTGAGGAGGTGCCCTACAAGAGGCCCACGGATGTGAAGACTCTCCTGGCCTGAGGACACTGACTACCAATCCCTGACTGGCAGCAAGACCGCTACCTAGCAGCTTCTGAGGACCCACTCCTCAGTGAACCGGACTGTCAAGCGTTGAGAAGACTTAACTGAGGGGGCAGATGGCTACAGCTGGCCTAGAACTTCTGGGCATTACCCTGGCTGTACTGGGCTGGCTGGGGACCCTGGTGTCCTGCACTCTGCCCCTGTGGAAGGTGACCGCCTTCATCGGCAACAGCATCGTGGTGGCCCAGGTGGTGTGGGAGGGACTGTGGATGTCCTGCGTGGTGCAGAGCACGGGCCAGATGCAGTGCAAGGTGTACGACTCAATTCTGGCGCTGCCCCAGGACCTGCAAGCTGCCCGAGCCCTCTGTGTTGTCGCCCTCCTGCTGGCCCTGCTCGGCCTGTTGGTGGCCATTACCGGCGCCCAGTGCACCACCTGTGTGGAGGATGAAGGTGCCAAAGCCCGCATCGTGCTCACTGCGGGGGTCATCCTCCTCCTCTCAGGCATCCTGGTTCTCATCCCCATCTGCTGGACAGCCCACGCCATCATCCAGGACTTCTACAACCCCCTGGTGGCAGAGGCCCTCAAGCGGGAGCTGGGGGCCTCCCTTTACCTGGGTTGGGCAGCAGCTGCCCTGCTCATGCTGGGCGGGGGCCTCCTCTGCTGCACATGCCCCCCGCCCCAGATCGACCGGCCCCGAGGACCCAGGCTGGGCTACTCCATCCCCTCCCGCTCAGGCACCTCTGGGATGGACAAGAGGGACTACGTGTGAGGCGAAGGATGTCTCCGGAAGCCCGCCGCTCAGAGCCTTGCCTTTGTGCTGGATGCCTTCTCTAACCCCCGCCTTCTCTCATCGACCCCTTTTCTAGGTGAAACCCATTTTCCAGGACCTCCAGGCAGGGCTGGTTGAGCCCATACCCTCCTCAATGGGGTCCCCTACCTCCTGGCCTGCCTCACAAAACCAGCTGCTTTCTTCTCATGTCCAAGTCCTAGGTTGGCCCTCCTCCCCTTCCTGAGGCCTCCCCACCCCTGGAACCTGGGCCTCACCCAAAGGGCAGTAGCTCCTTGGCTCAAACAAGCAGAGGACCGTGCTCTCTGCCTGCCCTGGCGCTGGTCTGCTCCAGCCTGGCCACCACATACTTGCATTCAGAGACCCAGGCCAGGCCCTCTGGGAGAAGCCAGTCTCCTCCAGGCCCGAAGACCCAGCCCACTCCCCTGCCCCAACAGGAGTTCCCAGAATAAAGAGTATTTGTACCTCTGGCTGCCTTGATCTGTGATTGGGCAGGGAAGACCAGGCGGCCTCCCTAGGGCCTTCAGACCAAGGTCTGGATCCAGGTCCTGCCGTATGGGTAACCTCACTCAGGCCATACTAGGCAGGGAGCAACAAAGGAGGCCAGTCGCTCAGGTTCCCCTCACAACAGGCTGAAACTCAATAGCCTTCCAGCAACATCAATGGCACATAACAAAGCAAAACAAAATATACTTTATTTAGTAAGAATTGCTGAGTGTAGGTGTGGCATGGCAGAAGGGCACAGGGCCTAGAGGTGAGAGGGCCAGGGTCCTACAGCATGGCTGGGAAGCAACTCCAAACCAAGGACGAAAGAGCCAGAGGCCAGAATCTTTGGAGGTAGACAGTTTTTGGTAACTTATCACCTGCTCTTCTCAAGGCTACTTTGAGGCTCAAGAGCCCCTGGACTTCCAGAGGCCTAACCAGCAAGGCGGGGCTCATCCCTGCAAATCCAAGGAGGCCCTGCCCCAAAAGCAGCAGCAACTCTTGGGGGCAGACCATCAAAGCATCTTGTTGTCACAAAGCACCTGGCCAGCAAGCAGCCTTCACCCAAGGGCACACAGCTCCAGGCCAGACTCCCAGCTGGGGATGTCCAATGTGGAGAAAGATCCAGAAACTCTCTAGTGTTGCCTCCTTGGTTTCATCATCCAAAGACATGCCAGTAGCAGAGCCCAGGTGGGAGTCTGAGTTTCTTCTTGGTTCAGTGTTTATCAAATGGATTAAAAGAAAAATACCCCCCTCCCCCAAGAAAAAGGAAGAACAAAAGCAACCCTGAAGCTGTATTTTGATGACTCCAGCTCAGAGGCAGGCTCCATTGTCAAGAGAGCCCACATTCTCCTACCCACATCAGACGTAATTCTTGGTGGGGTATTCGGAGGGCCCTTGAGAGTTGGCATGTGGGGCAGATGCTGAGTATTGGGCCAGGTAATGGCTGGAGCCCCGAGACCCCCCAGAAGGGCAGGTGTAGCACAGGAGCCCTCCACCCAGCAACAAAAGGCCAGAAGCCGCCCAGCCCAGGTAGAGGGAGGCCCCCAGCTCCCGCTTTTGGGCCTCTGCCACCAGGGGGTTGTAGAAGTCCTGAATGATGGCATGGGCGGTCCAGCAGATGGGGATGAGGGTCAGGACACCCGAAATGACAAAGATGATCCCAGAGGTAAGCACCAGACGGGCCTTGGAGTCCTTATCTTCCACACAGGTGGTGCACTTGGCCCCACCAAGGTAGATCAGCAGACCCACCAGGACAACGAGGAGGGTGATGACACAGAGGGCTCGGGCAGCCTGCAGGTCCTGGGGCAGCGCCAGCATTGAGTCGTACACCTTGCACTGCATCTGGCCCGTGCTCTGCACCACGCAGGACATCCACAGTCCCTCCCACACCACCTGGGCCACCACGATGCTGTTGCCGATGAAGGCGGTCACCTTCCACAGGGGCAGGGCGCAGGACACCAGAGCATTCACCCAGCCAAGCAGTGTCAGGACAATCCCCAGTATTTGCAGACCAGCAGAGGCCATGACGAGGCTGAGGTTGAAAGGAGCTGTACTGAGGGACAGAACAGAGTAATTTTAAGACTAGCTGGTCCATATCCCTCATTCTCAACAAGTGCTAACCCCAATGCCACGTGCCATGGCCACACAGAGCACCAAGAGTATAAACCCTGGGAGTTGGGATTCCATGTCCTGTCCCCAAGCCTCATTTTCGCATGGGCAAAATGAGCATTAATGCTTTACCATTTATTTCTTTTTCCCTAGTTATGTGACATACACTGTCTTACAATAGTGAATAAATAAGCCACCTAGTCATAGCTGTTTTGAGTACAAATGGAATATAAAGCCTAAGCAAGTGTTTGTCCTTGGTTCAGCCACGATAGGTATATTTTATCAAACAGGAAAGTGACAAAAAGGGGATGAAGTGACAGAGCAAAATCTGCAGGTATTTTCCACAGGGTACACAGATGGAAGGTTGGCTCTAGCTATTGAGTTTCAATCCCAAAACCACCAAGATCAGAGATCCAAGCTTTCTCCCACCACCCAAAAGGAGTGTCCAAACCCCTTACCCCAACAAGGTTCCGTACGTCAGGCACATGGTTACCAGTTTGATCTTAGAGGTGTTGTGTTCTGGGGGGCTCACAGTCCCCACTTGGCCTGCCCTAGCTTAACCCAGCCCAGCCCCAGCCAGCTCTTGAAGGGGCAGGGGAGATGAGGAAAAAAAAAAAAAAAAAGACTCCCACCCAAAAGCACTTCCTTCCCTAGGTCTCCCTGGGGCCCACTCTTCTGCCCTCTCTTTGGGGTCTCAAAACATAACCCCAAGTTCAGGGACATTTTTCTTGTGTATTGTTGCCCCAGATGCCATCCTCTCAGGATACAACTTCCCCAAAAGTAGCTAAAATCACTGGGGTCTACCCAGTGAACCAGCTCCTCTACAGCAGCCTCCCCCCACCTGTCTCCTCTCACATCCCACTTAATGTTAATCTCCACCCAGATCAGCTCTGTTCGGATTCCTGTTGTGGCTCTCCATTGCCCAAAGTTCCGGCGAATGGCTTGGACATAAACCTAGCACTAGCCCAGCAGTATGGCCAGGGGGTAGGTTCTCCATTCACTTTTTCAACTGAGCTTGAGCTGAGGAGCTCGGGGGAGATCAGATGGGGTGGGCCAGCCTTCGCTTGTCCCAGTCCCCTGTCTACCCCTCCAGGGGTCTGGCCGAGTTAAAGCTGAGACCACGCCAGCCTAGGCACCCTGCGCCTCTTGTCTGTGGGCTCGACTCTGTCCGAGAGTGCTTCTCCCAGCTCCCGATCCCTACTTCCCTTCGGAGGTCTTGCCCGAAAGTGGGTGTCCTCAGTCCCCCACCAGCCTGGGAGCCGGGCGCGAGGTAAAGTTTAATGGCGGCGACCGCCTAGGGTCCGCTCCCGCAGGTGAGGGGGAGGGGCGACCGACCCTGAAGCAGCGCAGGTGGGGGAAGGGCGCTCGGGTTTCGGTGCCTTTGTCCCAGGGGAGGAGAAGAGGGGAGTTTAACTCTTTTCGAGCAGCAAAAGGACCCGATTTGTCCCCCTCTGGGACCTCGCCGACCCCGGTAGCCGCCGCCAGATCAGTGCAGGTTGTCCATGTAGCCGGCACCCTGCACCCCGTTGCTCTAGGTATCCACCTTCTCCTTCCCAATATGTACACTGCCCCCAAGCTCACCTGAGAAGGAAGAAGTACGCGGAGATTCCTAGGAGCTTCGAGTGTGAGGATGGGGCGGAGGCGGGATCTTAAAGAGGTCCAGTGACGTCACTGGACCACCGCCCCGGGGAGGGGCAGAGACCCCAGTCCAGACCACTGAGGGTGCGCGAATCCCAACCTCCTTCGTCCGGAGCTCTCGAGACTGGGTATGAGTGTGGGGACATCAGCGGCTGACGTCGGGGCCCACAGGGTCGGGGCGCAGGGCATGGAGCCAAACGGAACTTGGGTAGGCACCACCACCTTCCTGAGCCTCAGCTTCAAATTCTGAAAATGGAGACAAGCACCCATTTTACTGGGTAACTATGTCCTAAGGTAGAAATTAAAAGATAAATGATTATTTCATGTTTTACCCCCGGGGTCCTTAAGAAAGCTGCAGTTACCTCTGCCTTCGGCGGTTTCATGTCTGATTCCCCTTGCCCGCCCCCACACACCTCTCGGACCTGAGCACCGAGAGGGCAGCTAAGTCTGCGTCCCCGCGAGGTCCCCACAGCTCGCGCACGCCGTAGTTGTTTGTAGAGCTAGTGACTGAATTTAGCGGGCCGAGCTGGGCGGGGCGGGGCGTCAATGGGCGGGCCCCTAGACTCGGCCCGCCCCGGAAGGCGGGGGCGGGGATCGGGCTGATGCTGTCTGTCCCCGCGACTCGCGGCGGTCTCAGATGGCAGCGGCCGCGGGACGCGCACCATGGCTCTCAGCCTGCTGTGCCCGCTGCTGCGGTTCCTTGTACTGGGGCTCGGGCTGGCGCTGCTGTGCGCCGCGGCTGGGGAGCCGGTGTCAGGTACGCCGGGTGCCAGGCTGGGGCTGGGTCGCAGGGCGGGAGGGCCGGGGATCCCCGACCGGGGATCGGGGAGCCAGCTTTGGGGACTTCGAGGAGGGTGCGGAACTAGGGTTGCATGGAATTGGGAGTCAGGTACTTTGTAGACACCGCGCTCTCTGGCCAGGAGAAGTCTCATCTTGTTCCGAGCTTCATCCCCAGTCTGGGCCTCAGTTTCCCGCCTGTCCAACTCGGAAGTGGAGAAAGTTTGAAAGCCGGATGTCTCGTCCGGTGACGGAGCGTGCCCCCAGCCTGGTCAATACCGGGTCTGCCTAGTCCCAGTGACCGGATTCGGGGGACGGTGTCTAGAGAGGCACGGGGGTCTCTCTATACCCCCATACCATGTGTGGTGCCCCCTTCCATCCGGTGACTTCAGTGCCCAGCTATGCGGGGGGAGGGGAGGGACGGGGGTCGGGCCCGGTGCCCAGGAATGAGTCACCCGCCGGCGGCGGGGGGGAGGGTTGTGGGGACCTCACCCCTCCCCCAGCCTCCTGCGCTACGCCCCTCTTCACCCTGTCCTGCCACGTCCCGATCAGGCCGTGAGGGTCACCTGCGAGGAATGCGGGAGGGCGCCGGTGACTCACGTTATACGATCCGGCCGACCCTGACTTCAGTCCCCAGAATAGCCGCGTCCCAACCCCAGCCTCTGACCCACGGCCCCTTCCTCAGGCACCACTCCGTGCTCTCGTGGAAGTTCTTGGAGCGCGGACCTCGACAAGTGCATGGACTGCGCGTCGTGTCCAGCCCGACCGCACAGCGACTTCTGCCTGGGCTGTGAGTGGTGGGCGGGGCCAGAGGCGAACGGACCCCAGACTGGGGGAGAGTTGCTGGGGTAGAGGAGGGAGCAGGTGACTTCAGATCTGGGGAATTGAGTGGGAAGCAGAAGTGGGGCAGGACTCCAATTAGGGTAGGGGCCATGGTAGGGGACAATCTTGAGGGTCAGATCTAGGGGGTGGGACTGGTCCAGGGAGGGTCCAGGTCTGACTTGAAGTCCCGCCCCTAGGCGCTGGGGCCCCTTCAGCCTCCTTTGGGCTGCTGTGGCCCATTTTGGGGGGCGCCATGAGCCTGGCTCTCGTGCTGGGGCTGCTTTCTGGCTTCCTGGTCTGGAGACAGTGCCGCAGGAGAGAAAAGTTTACCAGTAAGTGTGCCCTGGCCTGCCCGCCCCCCAATATTCCTCAATATCTCCCCAGCTCTTGACAACCCCTCTTCTTATCTTGCAGCTCCCATCGAGGAGACCGGAGGGGAGGGCTGTCCTGGCGTGGCGCTGATCCAGTGACAAAGAGTGTCCCTGGTCAGCAGGAAGTGGTGCCTACTCTTCACTCATTCATTCATTCATTCATAGCCAGCTACTGCCGCCCAGACACAACCAGAGCCAGGCTGCTCCAATCACGGGGGTGTGCAGACATGGGAGACGGGTGAATCACTTCTCTGAGGCCTGGATCCAGAGTTCTGGCTCCAGGACAGAAAAGGAGATCCAGGCCTGCTCACATCAGATAGCTGACATTAAGAAGTGCAACATTTGCATAAGGGTCCCCTACCCTCATGGTCTGGGGGTCAGGCTGAAGTGAGGGACAGACAGAACACCATTCCCTGCCCATTCAGATGTGCTGAAATCTCAGCACTGGGGTCTCAGCCGGGGGTGGTTTAGGGATCTGTTCCTAACACTAGGGGGCTGGCCCTCTAGGGGGGCTGGGCCTGAGACACTGCACTCCCAACTCTCACAGAGGGGGGAGATATTTATTTTGGGGAGAAAGTTTGGAGGGATGGGAGAATTTATTAATAAAAGAATCTTTAACTTTAAATGGATTGGAGAGTGGCATGATTCTCCAGCCTGACTTCCCAGAGCTGGAGGGAGGAGTGAGTCAGCCGCGGGGGCGGGGGTGAGGCTCTGACTCACACATTCTCAATGCCTGAGTCCAGCCTGCCAGGACCTGGGCAGGCCCTGACCGTTTTTCAGGGAAGATCTTGAGGAGAAATCCCAGCATTTAGTGCCCCAACCCTGTCATCTCTTCCCAAAGGCCCCAGGTTCCAAACTGAAACCATCATCTGTTCAGCAATCTTTATTCAGTTCTGGAGGAGGGGAATGCCTCCCTTTCCATGCTGCTGTCCCGCTTGTCCCTCCTACCCCAGGCTCACTGTCCTGCTCTGTTGGGGGAAGGTCTTGGTGCCCAAAGGCATGGTCTGGAGGAAAAGCAGGGCACCTGTCCCCTTCATGGGGGTGTTCTCCCATTGTGGGGGAGAAGACGGGTGGGCAGGTGCACTGCCTGCCAGCATTCAGAGCTCCATTATTTCCTCAGCTTGGGTTGCAGGGTAGTGGGAGGCAGGAGTGTCCCCTAGCCTCAGCAGCCGGAGGGCCTCAGGGATCAGGTTTCCAGGGTAGCGCCAGAGAAGCAGCTCAGAGCAAGGACTCCTGGAAGAGGAAAGGACAGGACACAGGGCTAAGGCTGGCCTGACAGAGCCACCTCAGGTTCAGGTCCCCAGAGGCTTCTGGGCTGCCTCCACCTTCTAAGGAGCCAAGATGAGAAAAAACAGTGGTTGGCTGTCTGTTAAAAATAGCAGGATGAGGCAGGGCCTGGAGTTTGGCTCCCAGGACAGGGTGTGATCCTCCACAAGTTGCAGTCAGTGGATAGTGGATGGTGCCTACCTGAGTCGGGGCAGAGCTGGGGAGAAAGCCAGCCGGGTGCTGCAGTAAGGGTGGTCATTATGAAGACTGAGTCGAGAGAAGTGGGTGGCCATATTCTCCTCAGACAGGAACTGTTTTCGAAGGGGCTCCCTGGGGAGAGACCAGGAGGCAGGCAGACTGGGATATTCAGAAGGGAGGCAGGGTGATGGAGACCTAAGGTGACAGAGATCTTGTTGGGAGTCCCTCCCTGCCCCCAAACTCACAGCTCCTCCTCCAGGCGCCGCTTGGTGCTCATGGGCACAGCTCCTTGGAGAGGGGAGCTGAGAAGAAAAGAGAGCTAGGTGCACTCTACCCTCTTGGCCCCATCTCCAAGACCTGCCAGCCTTGAGCCTGGGGCATCAGCCAGGAACCCCCTAGCCCATCTCGCTCAGCTGACGCCTAAATCACCTTCACTATCCCGGGCCATCCAGCAGCCTGCCTTGGAAGTCTCCAAACCTGTCTCAGCTCATGCCCAAGCCCTGCTGATTCGCCCCACCGTGTGTCGTTATGCAGAGAGCCCTGAGCCCCCAGCCAAAGCTCCTTTGGCTCTGGGAGGTTCTCCCAGGGTCCCCCACCTCCCACACACACCTGGCGTCCAGACCTCGAGGCGTCCCCGGGGCAGCTCGCGGGTCACCCTGGGCCGGACTCGGCGGGTCTCGCTCCAGGGGCTGCTGAAGGATCATTTGGGGTTCGGGGTCCTGCGGCAGAGGGGTGGGATCCTGGAGGCAAGGGCGGAGCTCTCAGGGCGTGGCCACGCGCGAGAGGTGTGGTTTTAGGCGCGAGCGGGGACGAGATCCCGCGCAGGCGCGGTAGATGGGCGGCGCGCCACTGGAAGGCGGGTCCGCTCGGCGGGTTTGGGGTAGGGATCTGGCGTAGCAGGGCTGCGGGGGACTCCACTTAGTGTCGGGCCGGGGGTCTTCGCGACGTTCACCTTAGTTCCTGGGGCTCTGGTGGTACGCGGCGACCGCCTTCCGGCCGAGCCAGCTGGCGGTATTGGACCGGTGGGACGCCGCGAAAGTGAGCCTTTCGGCTGCACGTCCGGATTTGTGAGGCTGCGTCGCACGCGGAGCGCTCTGGGACTTGTAGTTTTCGAGATGGAACGAGCTGTGCCGCACACTGTGCCTCTGGGTCAGGTGAGGCGGGCGTGGTGCTTGATGTCTTCTGGGGTTTGTAGTATATGCCCTTTTCAGAAGGGGCAGGCAAGGAGTCATGCCCTGAACCCTGTTTTGCGTGGGCTGTTGGTAGGACTTGGACTCTGACCTCGGGGCGGAAGAGTAACCCAGAACTACCTCTTGAGCCTAACATGAAAGTCAGAGGATAGGGATTAGAAGGTAGTACGTTTTTCTTTATTGGGGTGATGGAGCCAAGTTTTATGGTCTTGCAACGAGGCATCCCTGTGTGAAGCTCTTTATGTACAGTAGTTCATACGATGGTGACAGAGTCTCCCGTGAGTTCTATTTAACAGTTGAGGAAACTTGGAGGAGAGGCTGGGTGCATGCTCAAGGTCCTACTAGCACCTCGCATCAACCCCCACCCCCCACCCCTGTTCTCATCTTCTTGGAGCCACCCCTCGGATTGTATAGGCAGATGCCCGCTTGGTGGGCCTCAAGGGAGGTCTGAGAAGTATGGGCAGTGGCTGAATTGACAGCAGGGGAACCAGGAAGAAGTCTATGGATTAGAGTTCCCAGACAGCCTTTATATACGCCTCTCCCCACAGATGGAAGTGTTTCAGGCCCTGCAGCGGCTGCACATGACCATTTTCTCCCAGAGTGTTTCACCCTGCGGGAAGTTCCTGGCATCTGGCAACAATTATGGGCAGATAGCCATCTTCAGGTACCCTTGTCTCTGCTCCCCAGCACCCATTGGCTCTGGCATTTGGCCTTCACAGGATTCATGTCCTTGCTTGTGGCTTACGCACCCTCTTCTCTTTCCCTTCAGCTTGTCTGCTGCTTTGAGCTCCGAGGCCAAAGAGGAAAGTAAGAAACCCATAGTGACCTTCCAAGGTGGGTGCAGCCATTGAGTTTGGCTTAGACTCCAGGCTAGAGGAGGGGAGCAGGACAGGGTCACTCAGGTTCTGCATTTTCGTTTAGCCCATGATGGGCCCGTCTACAGCATGGTCTCCACCGATCGACTTCTGTTCAGTGCTGGAGACGGGGAGGTGAAGGCCTGGCTTTGGGTGGAGATCCTCAAGAAGGTAAGGAGTGTGGAGCTGGGGGTCGGGGGGCACTGGGGCACCCAGCCCCAGAGAGAGCCTTTGAGGTCACTCAGTGTTCCCCTCCATGAAGGGATGTAAGGAGCTATGGCGTCGTCAGCCCCCATACAGGTAAGCCAGGGCCACATGGGCAGAGGGCACATGGGGGTGCAAGTGCTGCCTCACGAGAGCTGACCCTGCTTTCCCTCCCCCAGGACCAGCCTGGAAGTGCCTGAGATCAATGCTTTGCTTCTCGTCCCCAAGGTCTGAGCCCTTTGTTACTAGGGTTCTACCCTGCCCTGTTTTTGGCCCAAACCGATCCTTCCCCCAGTGTCTGTCCTGGTTTGACATTGACTGCCAACTCCATCCTGCCTTCCTCTGCAGGAGAATTCCCTCATCTTGGCAGGGGGAGACTGCCAGTTGCATACAATGGACCTAGAGACGGGGACCTTCACGGTGAGAGGGCCCTGGAGCTGGATGGTGGGGGAAGGCATTCTTCCAGGATCTCATTCTGAAACTGCCCCTCTCTTTGCAGCAGGCCCTCCGGGGCCACACAGACTACATCCACTGCCTGGCACTGCGGGAGCGGAACCCTGAGGTGCTGTCAGGTGGTGAAGACGGGGCTGTGCGGCTTTGGGGTAAGGGAGTATCTGGTTGGAAAGAAAGATGGGGGTAAGGGAGGCTAGGTGAGTAGAGTACCTCTCATGGTTCTTCCCCCACAGACCTCCGCATGGCCAAGGAGGTCCAGACAATCGAGGTCTACAAGCATGAGGTAAGGGCATGCCCCACACTCTGTCTTCCCCTCTCCCGGGGCATCTCCTAAGTCTTCATCTCCTCTCTTCTCCTCCCTCTCAGGAGTGCTCAAGGCCCCACAATGGACGCTGGATTGGATGTTTGGCAACTGACTCAGACTGGATGGTGAGCCACACAAAGTGTAGGATGGGGTGGCAGCTCCGGGCCCTACTAGCTGAGGGCCTGTGGCTTATGGTGGCTGGGGACCCCCACCTCTCTGCCCAGGTCTGTGGAGGGGGCCCAGCACTCACCCTGTGGCACCTCCGATCCTCCACGCCCACCACCATCTTCCCCATGTGGGCACCACAAAAGCATGTCACCTTCTACCAGGACCTGGTAAGGCTCTCTGTCTTGATTTGCTACTCCTGCCGGTTCTCATCTCCAGCCCTGGCCCCTAAATCCCCTCACTGTTCTCCACAGATTCTGTCAGCTGGCCAGGGCCCCTGTGTCAACCAGTGGCAGCTGAGTGGGGAGCTGAAGGCTCAGGTGCCTGGTTCCTCCCCAGGGCTGCTCAGCCTCAGCCTCAACCAGCAGCCAGCAGCACCTGAGTGCAAGGTGGGTCTTACAAGGAGCTATGGCCGTCCTGGGAAGCCAAGCGTGTGGGCAAGTCAGTCACTCTTCTCTTGCTTCCAGGTGCTGACAGCTGCAGGTAGCAGCTGCCGGGTGGATGTGTTCACCAATCTGGGCTACCGTGCCTTCTCCCTGTCTTTCTGACCTCCAGCAACCTCTTCTCCCTCCAGTCCAGGGGTCTGGACTGGTTTTTCTTTTTACAAATAAAATTTCAGGCTTTTTTTTTATGTGCTTTATTCCCTAGAAGGGAGACTAAGTTGGTATAATGATTTATATATTACTCTGATCTTGATACATAAATAACCATCCCCACCTCTTGCCAGGGGTGCCAGGGCCAGGGGGCCTAGTGTCCTAGTACTTAGAAAAGACCTGTATAGATTCAGAAAATAAATAGCTCTGCCCCCACCTGCTCCCTCCACCAACCTGGGGCCTCCTGATTCCCAAAACTGGGGCCTGCTCCCACTAAGCCCCTGCCCAGTCTCTTGGGGTACAGGAGGGTTCCAGCCCCATTTGGAGAACAGTTAGGGCCCTGTCGCTCCATTGGCCAGAAGAGGAAAGTAAGCCAGAGAGGGCAAATGTGGGCCCCTTCGCCCGGCCCTCAGGTCTTTCGGAAGAGGTTGCTGAAGAAGCCACTGTCAGGCCCAGGGCCCCTGCGCAGCAAGAAGCGGGGCATGTGGCGTTGCGGGGTGGATTCCGCTTCCAGCAGTTCTTTCTGGCGTTGGGAGCGCAGCTGCTGCCCAATCACCACCTGCATGTCGTCCTGCGGTAAGGTCAGCAGGGTGGGAGAAGCGAGAAGCCGGTCAGCCCACTGGTGCCATCCCCTCAGGCCCACCCCACGGACCGGTCCTTCACCTGCCAGGCCTCCAGCTCTTGGGTCAGCGCCACCTTCTGGCGTATGGTGCGGAGCAACTCCTGGGAGAGGGAGTCCCGCTCCAGAGAGACGCGGCTGAGCTCCAGGGACAGTTCCAGGGCCCTGCAAGGGACAGGGGAAGAGAGCTGGTTAGAGGGCTCTGGGACCTCCTCGAGCAGGGGGACGCGAGCAGGTGGGAGCTCTGCTCGGGCAGGAGTGGGACCGCTAACACAGAAACCAAGGAGGTCAGAGGGTTCCTGAGTCAGAGTGGGGATAATTATAACCTATATCACCAGCGAGGCTTAGAATGACCAGAGTGCCCCGGGGGTCTTTAGCCCTGCTGAGCAGGTAGTGGATAGTGTCAGAGGCAGGCTCACTTGTTCACAGCCTCCTCCCGGTCTGAGAGGGCGCAACTTAAGGCCTCCTTGGGGTCCTCCAGCTCCCGCAACTCCTTCTGCCTTTGCAGCTCCTCCCGCAAGGACTGTAGCTCTGTCCGCTGCAACTCGACCTGCAGGCGGAGGAGGGGGCAGAGAGGCAAGTAGGCCTCTGGGTCTCCATGCCCTTGCTTTTCCGGGCAGCTTGAGCTTCAGCTCTCTGACCACCCGTTCCTTGTGTGCTCCACAAACACCCCAGGCAGCAGCCGCCCTGTGCTGGAGTTGAATCTTCTGAGCTCCTAGCCTGGTGCGGGGCTAGATGGGTGGTACAAGCCTGCAGTAAGGGTGCCTGGAGAAGCATTGGGAGGTGAGATTAAGGGGAAAATGCACTCCACGAAGTCTTCCTGAAGGAGGGGGCATATAGGCTGGCTCTTGAAGCATGACAGCAAGTTTGTTGGGATGAAGGGTGATCCAGGTAGAGGGGAATTAGTGGAAAAAAGCTCAGAGTTGTAGATGAAAAAGAGAAACTGACATTGAGAAGGGCTCTGCATCCCACACTATGTTCCTGCTGCCCACCTCCTCCTGCAGCTGGGCCACTTCCATCTCCTTTTCCAGTATCTCCCCTGGGCTCAGGGAAGCTCTCTTCTTGGGAGGCTCCAGGCTCTCCTGTTGTGAAGGCTGGTGACTGGATGCCTCCTGGGTCTTCGGGGACAGAATGGTCTGTTCATCAAAGGAATTGGTCAGTGAGGTGTTGAACCTTGGAAAAAGGAAAAGAAGTGTAGTCTGCAGCCCTCCTGGATGACTGTTGGGCCTTGAGCTCACCAGGGCGTCTTTGTGGCCATCTGCGTTCTGGTTCTGGTCCTCGTCGCTGTCAAGGCTATGGGCGAGCTCTGACTGCAGCGAGGCCCCGGATGTGTCAGCTTCCTGGAGGCGCGACTCCTCCTCCAGCTCTGAGACTCGCTGCTGCAGCCTCCGCAGTGTGCTCAGTGCCTCCCTGGCCTCGGAGCGTGCACATTCCAGCTGTGCTAGCCCGGATAGACAGTCAAGCATGGGCGGGCAGACAGACAAGCTGGCGTGGTCAGCCAGATAAGCCCGCTGCTGACACCCCGTGGTGAGCCCACAGGGGGGCGCTGGCGCGCCGTGGAAAGCCGGGCAACCCTCCAGTCTGTGCACCCCAGCTACAGGTGCCTGCTCCCCCATTCCCGGATGGCTGCGTGGCTTGGGCTGGGCACTTCCCTGTGGCCTACACCAATTTCCTTGCCTATAAAGCAGGGCGAGGGTGAGCGTCCCGGCTTTAAAGTCTTCCATCATCCTCCCTCCAGCCGCACCCCATCAGGTAACTTCTCAGAGAGCCTGGCCTCAACCCCACCAGTCAACCTTCTAACTCACTAATTGCTGTCATCCAGCATTTATTGAGCCTTCCTTCTAACCCAGCGCTGTGCCCAATACCTTACCCTCACCAAAGCTTTATACCATTATTATGCCAACTCAAAGATAGTGAAACTGAGGCCGGGTGTTCCACAGTATAAGGAAAGATGCAGGAATCAGAACCCAGAAAATTTGACCACAAAGTGCTGACTCTTTTCATTCCCTTTTCTCTGTCTCTACTGCCTCAGATCTGGTCCAGGTCCCCGTCATCTCTGGCCTGAGCTCTAGCCTTAGCCCCTTTCTGATCTAGCTGTTTTGTTCTAATGCATTCTGAGAGTGTACCACACCTACTTAATACTCTTCCATGGCTCCCGCTTGCATCTGGGCTAATGCCTATGCTCTTGTGGCCCAGCTGATGGGGATCCCAAGGACACAACTCTGGCCTCGTCCCCCGGGAAGACCTGAGGCAGTGGCTAAGGCCCCAGCTGGATGTACCCATGCACCCCGATCCCCCTGGTCACCTCCAAGCTATGCTCCCTCTTCTCACGCCGCAGTAGCAACAACTCCTCATGGGTTGCCTGTAGCCTGCCCTGGCCCTTCTCCACCTCCTCACGCAGGCTTCGGATCTGGGCTTCCAAGTCCTGCCGGCGACTCTGCAGCATCTGGTTCTGGGGAAAGGCCTCAGAGCTGGAGGAAAGGTGCTGGGCCAGCTCCAGGCAGCCCCCAGCACAGCCTTCCTGGCTCAACAGGCCCCCAGCCCTAGCCAGCACTCACCTCCCCCTGTAGACTCTCCAGGCGTGTCCTCAGTTCTGCCCTGGCCAGGGTCTGGGTGTGGCACTGCTCCCGAAGGCCATCTAGTTCCTTCTGAAGCTCCTGCTCAGTCTGAGAGGCCTGGAGGCAAGTGGGGTTGGGGGTGCGGGGTGGGGCGGTGCAAGGGGCAAAGCAGTGGGGCCCTCAGCTGGTGTAAAACTCAATACCAAGCCCAGGGCATCCCCCCAACTGGGACCAAGGATACTGGGTGGGTTAAGGCTGTCCCACCTGGGCCAGTTGCTGGCTGAGTCGTAGGTTCTGCTCGCTGAGTTCACTGAGGGCCTGTGCACGCTCTCGCCCGCTGTCCTGATGCTCTGAGCGCTGTTCCCCAAGTTGGGCCCGCAGAGCCTCCATGTCTCCCTCCAGTTCCACAGCCCTGGCCTCCCACTCAGCTCCTCGTGCTGCCAGGCGCTGGCGGAGCTCATGGTTTTCCTGCTGCAGCCGCTATGGTGGCCAAGATAGAAGGTTAGAGACAGAGAGGGAGAGATGAGACTGGAACAGAGACAGAGAGACCCAGATGGAGAGACAGAGACCTAAGTAGAGTTTGATGGAGTCTGAGACAGGCATGAAAGTGAGAGACAACAGAGGAAGCAGGCAGAGAGCAAGAGGCAGAGACTCAGAGAAAAGGAAAGCGGGGTGGCACAGAAGAAAGAAGTTTCCAGGCCCGACAGGAGGGTCTGACTCCCGGCCACGGGGTGGGCTCCCTAATGCCCACTCACCTCTTGCTGCTGCCTGGGCTTCTGGACCCGACGTTGCAGGTGCCGTTTCTGGTGCCTTAATCTGGCAGAATTTAAGCCCCGACCCATGGCCTCACACAACTAGGGGCTCTGGAGGTTCAGCTTCTGCCCATCCACTGCTCAGTCCTTCTCCCTGAGCTCCTCCACCCCAGCTCCCTCTAATTAACCCGGGCCAGCCCCACCTGCGCCCCATGCCTTTGCCTTCCCTCCCCAAAACCTGTTGAACTAGTATGAGGAAGAGGCTGGCACACCCAAGTGTCCAGCTTGGGGAAGCAGGCAAATTGGGGGCAAGCCTCTGGCTGTCACTCTTTTTTTTCCCTCAAAGTTGGAAGGTGGTGCTAACAGTTATTAGCAGTACTGCTGCCAGGCCCTGTGCTAGCTAGTGCTTTACCTTTTCATTTAACTCACTAGAGTTAGAATCATGAATGTCCTCATTTTACAGATGAGGAAATGGGCTCAGAGACGTGAAATACCTTGCCCAAGAACACACAGTGAATTAGTGAAGCAGGGATCCCAACCCAGGCAGCCAAGCTCTTAACCAAATACTGTGAACACAAGACATCTTTAGGATTAAGCCTACAGGATTGGGGTCCAATTGTCCTGCCTATTGCCCAGCTCTGCTGCTGCTTTGTGGTCAGGAAAGTCACTTAATATTGCCATGGCCTGCCCATCCATCCATCCATCCATCCATCCATCCATCCATCCATCCATCCATCCAATATTTCCTGAGCTCCTCCTGTTCTGGGGCCTGGATGTCAACAGTCAGTGAGACCACCAAGTTCCCTGCCTCAAACAACTTAGAGTCCAGGGGTTTTAGGCAAATAGACACATGCTTCAACTAGGTAGTTTTGGAAGGACAGCTAGGGCTGTAAAAAATCCCCAGAAAGTGATGGAGAGGGGGCGGGGTGGAGGCTCCCTCAGGAGGAAGTGATGTCTGAAATGACTCCTGCAGGGCAAGAAGGAATAGGGCTAAATGCAAGGAACAGTAAATGCAAAGGCCCAGAGGGAACAAATTTAGGTTACTCAGAGAACTGAGAAGAGAGCCCTCCCCTGATAGCAGTGGTGGGAAGCTGGGCTGAGGTCAGGGACTTTCAGGCTCTGGTTAGAAGTTTCGGTTTCATTCTAAATGTGACAAAGAACCATTGGGAGATTCTGAGCAAGATCTGAAACAATCTGATTTGCAATTTTTGAAGATCCTTCTGGCTGCTCCATAGACAATGGACTCCAGGGAGCAAGAGTAGAAAGTGGGGGACCAGTGAGGAAGGCACTGCAGTGTCTGGGACAGAGATGACAGAGGCTATGACCAGATTGGAGGCTACAGAAATACTAAGTGGGTAGCTTCGGAATCTGGTTTAGAAGAATCAATAGGGCTTACGAGTGTGGGAGAAGAGGTCATGGAGATGCTCAGGGTCTGGTGCTGAGGTGAGAAACTGAGATGGGGAGAGTGGGTGATAGGGTCATAACGAAGAATGCCACTTATGTTGAGTTGCCCATGATGCTCTCTTGGAGAGGTACAGGGTGGTACAGGGTGGTGAGCCCAGGTTGGGCTCAGGGCAGTGCTTAGGGCCGATGACGTGGACCCAGGACTCAGTGGTATTCAGGGTGATTAGGGGCCAGATGTGACCCCAGTGTGGCTGACAACAGAACCTGGGGAGAGGAAAGAATTTTTCCTACCTCAAAGGTTGGGTGAGAACTGACCAAGATGATGCATGGAAAGTACTTAGCCCAGAGCCAGGTGGGGAGGGGATGCCCAGTAACTGTTGGCTAGGGTTGCATTATACTGCTGAGGAGGTGGACCCAAGATCCAGAGAGGGCCAGCAGCTTGCTCAGGATCACACAGCCAGGCAGGGGTCTGAATCTAGGTCTTGATTGTCCTCAGAGCCCATGTTCTTAACCACCAAACAATATTGCCAGGCCTAAATTATTCCGGAAGCATCCCCCTTTGGTTTTCTGTCCCCTGCTCACCTGTCTTCCACCTGCCCACCCCTGTACCCTTCCTGCCACTCCTGCTGCCAACTCACTTCCTCCCGCTCAGAGTGCTCGGTGCTCAGCATTTCCAGCTGCTGTTGCAGCTCCTCATTGCGCTCCAGAAGCATCTTGCCAAGCTCTGCAGCCAATAGTAAGTCTTTCTCCTTCTGCTGCAGCTGCAGGGCCAGGTCCTCGTGTTCCTGGGGCCCTGGGCCCCCTCCCAGGAATGAATCCCGCCGCTCCAGCACAAAGGGAAAGAAGCCCTCATCACAGCTTGGGGAGGCGCCACCTGAAAGCAGCCCTGACTGGAAGCTTGGCCCTTCCGTGGAGCTCATGGTTCCTGCAGCGTCTGTGGGGACAGGCAAGTCTGTGTGACGGGTAGCTAGCTGCAGGGTGCTCTGCTCTGCAGTCTGGGGTCTAACCGGTCCATCCCTCAATTCTTCACCTGCCCACTGGCCCTCCCAGTCCTTCAGCCAAGGCCTCCCTGGGCCATGAAGGGTTAACAATCTGTGTCTTGGCTATTCAGCTCAATGTCCCCAGGGTAAACTGAGGCAGGGGGCAGCAGGAAATGGGCTGCCCTGCCTTCTCCCTCTGGCAGATAGTCTCTGCCCCCAGAGAACCTTGTTGCAGTGCTCCGGGACACAGGCCACTCTGCTGACAGTCCCTGCCTCCTTCTTTCTATTTTAGAATCCAGTTCCCAGCCCCTCACCAGCTGTGAGAACCCAGAACCCAGATTCTGAGGCACTAAGGACTCAGGGACTAGTCCAGACCCTTCTCCTTCCAAGAATACAGGGCCTTGGGAATGTAGGTGTCCTGACCCTTTAGCCCCCAGCAATCCAGCCCCCCTCTCTTCCAGAAGCCCAAGCCCCCATCTCCTCAGGACTCAGATACCCTTCTAGGTACCCTGGCCCTGTTCTCCTACTTTCTCAGGACCCAAGGGTTTTGTTTTCCACGCGTCAGAACTCAGGTGCCCAGACACTCAGCTGTTCCCTCTGGTTTCCCAGGGCTCAAGCAGGGCGAGGTAACAGGTTGTGCCAGCCACTGCTGCCCCACCAATCCAGGTTTCTGTTTACTCCCAGGCCCGCCCCTGGGGAGAGGAGCCTGGTGGCACTCCCCTAGGACCTCCCAGGGCCTGGCAGTTCAGGGACTCCAGAGGGAGGGGACACATGGGGCTTCCCTGGCACACTCCTGCCCTCCTGGTCCTCTGGGGTACCCTCCCACCCTGGTCCCCTGGGTACCTCCCAACACATACACCTGTCTCTCCCTTTTCTCCCCTCTCCAGGTGTCCAAGCCCAGCCCTACCAGTAGGACCCAGGTGTCCCAGCAGTCCCAGCCCATTTGCCCTCAGGCTGGACAGGGGTCTCCCTGAGGTGGCCCCTAGGGTCAAACTCACTCTGGGGACCCAGGAGCGTCCTTCCTTCTTCCCCCTCCCCACACCGAGTTGCCGTCAACCCAGGTTTCAGGGCCCCCCAGTCCGTCGAACCCTCAATCCAGGCGTCTGGAACCCAGCCACCGCCTTCCTTCCTGCCGGTGTTCTATGCTATTCGGCTCCAGGAGTCCAGCCTGGTGCCTCCACTCCCCAGCAACCGCACCAGCTCCCCCCGGCTCTATCCCGCCTGAAGCTTGTAGGGCTCTCGTCCTCAGCGCCCTCTAGGCTCTCACCTGCCGACGCCTGACTCCTGCCGAGATCCCGAGATCTCTGCGGTCTCTGATCCCTTCTTCCGGAGGTGGCGCCAGGTGCGCTGTCCACAGGTAAGGGGCGGTGCTGTGGGCGGGGCTGTGGCGCCCCCTGGTGACCGGAATGGCCAGGAGGAGCCCAAGGAAAGTCACCTCAACCCTGGTCAGAGGCACTGACCCATCTTGCTGCCATCAGGAACTGGGCCCATTAACTGGGCACCTACTGTGTGCAGACTCTGCACTGAGTATTGATGTCAGCTCCTTTCCCCTCACAGCTGCTCTATGGGATAGAAAATTATTTTCATTTGTTTATATATTTTTCAATTACAGTTGACATACGCTGTTAGGAGGGAAGACCGCCCCCCCCAAAAAATTGGAATTATCTTCTGGAGGGTGGGCCCATTGTAGTACAGGCTTCCCCTGCTAGGTGAGTGTCCTAGGAACCCATCTGTATCAGTGTGCCTGCTGATGTTGTTATGAGAGGGTGCCCTGGGCTTCAGTGAATTTTTTTGGAGACTCTTTCAGCATTTGCCCATTTCACGATGGTTGATTTACAGGTGCACCTGCCCACACAGCACTGTGTTTAGCAGTTTTTGGACCAAAAACGGCCTGACCCTCAGCCCCTACCCTATCTAGTCACCCGATCTTGCCCTGAGCAACTTTTTTTTTTGTTTGTTTGTTTTCCTGAATGAAAAAAGTCCTCAATGGGAAACGTTTTGCGTATGTGGAAGAAATGAAACAAAAAATGGCAGAAGCGCCCTGGCTGGTGTGGCTCAGTGGATTGAGTGCTAGCCTGAGAACCAAAACGCTGCCAGTTCAATTCCTGGTTAGGGCACATGCCTGGGTTGTGGGCCAGGTCCCCAGTAAGGGACATGTAAGAGGCAACCACACTTTCATCTTTCTCTCCCTCCCTTTCTCCCTCCTTTCCCCTCTGTCTAAAAATAAATAAAATCTTTTCAAAAAATGGCAGAAGCACTAAAACGCATCACAATCGATGAGTTCAAAAACTGTTCCAAGGAGTGGAAAAAATGTCTCAATAGGTATACTGCATCAAGCGAGGGGTACTTTAAAGATGACTGAAGTTTAAACATGTAAGAATAAATACACTTCTTTATGAATAAATTCTGTTTTTTGGGGTCCCTCCTCGTATATTAGTTTCAGGTGTACAACATAGTGATTAGACATTTATATACCTTATGAAGTGTTCACCACAAGTCCAGTACCCACATGGCACCATTCATTGTAGTTACAATATTAGTGGCTGTGTTCCCTATGCTGTACTTTACATCTCCATGACTATTTTTATAAGTGGCAATTTGTACTTCTTAGTCTCTTTCACTTTTTTCTCTGATTCCCAATCTCCCTTTCATCTGGCAACCATCAGTTGGTTCTCTGTATCGATGAATGTGTTTCTATTTTTGTTCATTTATTTTGTTTTTTAGATTCTACATATCAGTAAAATCACATGGTATTTGTCTTTCCCTGACTGACTTATTTCACTTAGCATAATACCCTCTAGGTCCATCCACATTATTGCAAATGGTAAGATTTCACTTTTTTAAATGGCTGAATAATATTACGTTGTATATAAAAGGTATGTAAGTTCTACCACTTCCTCATCCATTTGTCTATTAATGGACACTTAGGTTGCTTCCATATTTTGCCTATTGTTAATAATGCTTCAATGAACATATAGGAATATATCTTTTCAAATTAGTGTTTTGGGTTTATTTAGATGTATACCCAGAGGTAGAATTGCTGGGTCATACAGCACTCCTATTTCTAATTTTTTTGAGGAACTCCGTCCTGTTTTGCACAGTGGCTGCACAAATTTGCAGTTCCACCAGTAGTGTACAAGGATTCCATTTGCTCCACATCCTTGCCAGCACTTATTCTTTGTTATTTATTGATGATGGCCATTCTGACAGGTTTGAGGTGGTATCTCATTGTGGTTTGGGATAGAAAATTTTAACAATGATAATAACACATATTAAGCACTCTGCTAAGCCAGCTCTTTTATAAAGACAACTTGTTTGCTTTTATGACATCCTAATGAAACAAACTATTATCTCAATCTTACAGATGAGGATGCCGAGACTCAGGGAGGGTCTAACTTGCTTGAGGTCACATGGACAGAACTCAAATGTGACCTGCAGAAGTGTGACCTTAGGGTGTGTGCTCTTGTACTGATTCCCATGCTGCTGAAGAAGACAGCTAGAGTGACTTGCCCGTGTGGCTCCCAGCTTGGGGTTTTCAGTTCCCAGGCTGCACAGAGCTGGGTGCTGTGTTCCAGTCAGGGACAGGAGTCTTGGAATGGAGACTGGAGGATCCAGGGCTGGGTACCAGGGCCCAGCCCAGTGCAGCCTGAGCATGCGGGTGATGCCCCAGCCATGGCCTTGTGGCTTATCACAAGTCTCCTCAGACTTCCAGAGTTCCCTTGGGTCCCTGTGACAGGGGCTCCTGGCCTAGTGAGTAGGGACGAATGAAGAGCTGGAAGCAGTGGTCTGCTGGTAACTATTTAACAATAGGCTGTTGGGGGTGGTTGAGGGAGGAGGAACCTGGATTTGTTGCATCTGCCAGTTTCTGTGTTCAGTTCCCCTCCACAGCTGATTTCAGGCTAGGCTACCAGCATGGCATCGTTGAAGGTGAGGAGGGTGGAGATGTGTACAACCAGCTTTCCCAGCCAGTACCAGTGGACCCCATACCCCTCTGGTTGGGGTTCAGGATGCCTGAGTCTGGAGGAACAGGGGCCTATTTGGCTGGATCCTAGAAAAATAGGAGGAAGATGGGAGCTGGGACTACTGATTTGCAGGAAAATGAGTGCAAGGACTCCTTGGAGAGGCGTTTCAGGGGCTGGGACTCCTGAATTGCTGGGGCTGAGACCAGTCTCCTGCCATTACAGAGTAGAGAGGCCAATTTGTTTGCTCAAGGGTCTGAGGGGGCTACATTGCCTAGCAAGGCCTCCATGTTCTCCCGTGGCATCTGTGGCAACAGCCTGGTGGATTTTGCAGGGCTAGAGTCACCCCACCTTCCCTTTAGTGCTGCCCCCTGAACCACTCCAAATGCCAGGGTCACCCTGGGCCCCCCCAAACTCATGCACACTCTCCACACCTTCCCTGAGTCCTTCCCCTGTCAGGCAGGGGGCTGGGCTCATCTGGAGATGAAGTTGTCAAGGCCTCGCTCCCAAGAGGTTCACAGTCCACCCAGGACCTGGGTTGGGTGTCAACCCATAAACCAGAAATGTACCAATAAAGTAGTAGAGCAAAGGAGCTTGGCTCATGGGCACTACATCTTATAGCCTCAGTTCAGATCCCAGTTTGGCCACTTATCAGCTATGCGTGCCTGTATCGTTCAGCTGAGTAACCTCTGCAGGCCTCAGTTCCCCATCTGTAAAATAAAGGTAACAGCTCTTAGCTCATAGGATTGTGAGGATTAAATGAGGGTGAAGTTTAGATCATGCTATGTGATCCCCAGCTTGGCCACAACAGGTATCTCGCCACCCATGTTATGATGTGTTTTATCCTCATAGCATTTTCATGAGGTCATGCCCTTCAGCTGAGGGAGATGAAGTGATTGGCCTGTGCATACATGGTAGACCCTTGCCTGGCTCCTAGCCTAGGTTACACTTTGGACATTTGAATCTGACCCTCAGGCTCCCTGCTGATTCCAGGA